GTAATAGTCTCAATTTTCTTGATAATAATAGTTTCACAGATGAGCCATTGCTTAATGCGTTGGTAAAATCTCAGGTTGACAAGCCTGAGAACAATGAAGTGTCTAAGAACAGCTAGTTAGTGCAAAATGTGCTGGATGTTAGGGGCCAGAATTGGATAGCTGCCTTCAATGTAATTGCTTCATCTGAGCTTATAGCTTTTGTTGAACATTGGTTAACTTAAACATGAGTTATACATTGTATGTATCATCTCACATCTGCCCACAGGGATAGTTCTAGGGTGCTGTGTAGATAAAAAGGTTGATTCCATTTATGATATTATTTTATTTACTATTTATTTATTTTTCCACATATAACTCAGTGACAGCTGGAATGGAGTCTGCATTTTTCTCCAGGTTCAGCCTTTTTTATGTGGGGAGTTTCAGCCCAGTTGATTGCTGCACATGGGAAAAGAGTATCCCATTTTTCATCTATTGTTTTCTCATTATAAAAAATAAGGATTTTTAGTGGTGAGAAGGTGTTCCCCCTCTCAGGCCCAAGTGCAGTCCCTTTGAAAGGGCGCATGCCTAGTGTGCTTGCACCTCAGCTCATTTGTGTAGCTTTTGAAGCAAAGTGGTTGGCCTGGGGAGCGGAGACTTTGCCCTTGGCCCCCTGACCAAGACCCTTGGGGCAAGCTCAAACAAGTCAATGCTGGGGGTCCTAAATTCATGGTTCATATATAAAGAAATTGGTTTTGTAACTTTAGTTATAATTCATTGGGCCGCTTAGAGCATTGGTGAGTGAGCAAGTGTTGTTCACTTATCCTTCTTAATAAAGACATTCTTCACGAACAACATTTGATTTCTAATCCTAAAAGATAAGGATCTGTGATTAAAATTACAAACCCAATTTCTTTATATACGGACCAAGAATTCAGGACCATGCATTGAATATGTTTAGTATGTTAGTTTATGTATTTTAATTTGCTCCAATAGGCTTTTTAAAACATTTAATTTCTTTTACAATTTAAGATTGTATTTTTTGAATTAATACTATTTTAATATTTTTTTGCATTTCTTGCATATTTTTTTATTTTTTAATTTTTTTTGTGCCTTTCTTGTAAAAGGCACACGTCTCGTCTTGTTCCTTGGGTGTGAAAAGCCCCTTGTGCACTTTTAAAGCATTGAATTTCTCTCTAGGTGTATAACTAAATTTCACATTTTTTTTAGTGGCAGCTTGTGTCTCAAACTTATCACTTTATTTGCTTAAATTTTATAGCTCATTTGCTACTTGGTGCGTGTAATATTTAAAATCTTCCAAGAATCAAGAACTAGAATTTGCAGGGCATTGGGATATTATCCCCTTTTAAAGATATTACAAATTCCTCTTTCTTGAATCTTGTTAATTACATGGAGGTGACTCTTCAAACGTTTCTTTCTCTTTTGTGTTGCCTTGAAAGGTAAAATAAAATGATTGTATTAATGATAAAAGGGAAATTCCTGCTAAATACAAAGCTAACCCCTTCGAGATGAAAGGGGTCCAGCAATATTATCTATGGACACTAGAGTCATGGAAGGAATTTACAATCAAAAGATACGATCGGAAGGACCATTTGTCCCAATACTTTGACCCCATTGATCACAAAATAATTGAAAAGAGAGGTCAATGAAATCCTTCTTGAGGCTAGCACATTTGATGAAAAGTGTCTTAGCTCTGCCTAGCACCGATTCCAGGGGGAGGACATGCCTTTAGAAATCCAACTATTCCTCTCACTCCACAAGACCCAATAGATTACTGGGGGGGGGGGCGGAATTCCATAGATATCCTCTATTGCTGAAATAACTTACAGGCCAAGTAGAGAATAATTGTGGATGGACAATGAAGTAATAGATGGTTGGCAAACTCCCAATCACTCTCGCACGAGGAGCATTGATTCAACACCAACATCGCTCTAGCCGTGAGATTGTCAATGGTTTGGATTTTATTTAGACTAGTTGCTTAAATGAAAAATACTACTTTGAATGGGACACACCCTCTATATCCACTTCCATGGAACTTCGTTTGAATCATGGCCAACAAATGGAGGGAATAGGATTTTGCCAAGAAGTTCCCGTCCTTGTTTCCTCTTCGTCACTTGTTGTCTGGTGAACCTGGATTTGGAAAAATGGAGATATTGCTTAACAACAGTGAACTAAACTCCACTTCCCAATCCAAAATGTTTAATTTTAAACAAAGGGTCTACATTGCTTGACCCCCCCCAATGTCTTAGCATTTCTGCACTCTTTATCCCTTTGCCTTTTCTGTTGGCTTCCAAGACTTCTCTCTAGCCTCTAGCAGTGTTGATGAATATTTTCACCATATTGAGGAAGGAAATAAAAATGTGTTGGAAGAAAGATATCAGGAATCACGATCATCATTATATTACTTTTGGAGTTGCATTTTAATTAATTGATAATAGTGTTGTCTATTGAGAATAGTGTTTAATTAATTGAGAATAGAAAATCTAGTTTGCAATCCTGTATCTTGTAAATCTGATGTAGTGAAGTGTGAAGGATGAAAGCAGTAAGGATATCATCAATGGAGAAAGAGAATTTTCATCCATGGGGAGGTTAGTGAATTTTGAAGCAAAAAATTCTCTTATTTGAAGAGGTCAAAGTAGGTGGAAAGGTATCTTTGAGATTTGGGAGTTAAAGAAGTTGTGGGTTTTTCTGGTTGGTTTTGAGTTTGTTGCTTGATTCCAGAACTTTGTTGATGACACCTTGCACAAGGATAAAAGTTTGGATTGGAAGAGTTTTAAGGAGGTAAGGAAGAACATACAAAGTAGAGAGAAGGATTGGAGGAGGAATGGTAGAGGTAATTTCATTGCATTGCTTGAATTTTTCAGGCAAGGAAGAAAGCAATTGGTTTCTTTCCTTGAAGGAAGAGAAGGAGAAGGGTAGATTTTAATCTCTTAAATTTTAAAGGGATTCTCTAAGAACCTTGTGAAAGCTTGCATAACAGTCAAAGAGGGGAGATGTCAAAAGAGGAAAATGAAGCTACAAAAGGGAAAGATGTAAGGAAAAGGATATTTTGTACAAGATAGGCAAATTACAAATCAGATCCTGATTGCAAATGGGAGTGTGGAGGAGAAGAGGAGATCTGGCAAAAAGGTTTCGTCTGCAAGCTAGATTTGGAAAAGACTTATGACTCAGGGGATTGGAGTTTCTTATTGGAGGTGTTAAGAAGGTGTGGCTTTGGGAACAATTGGTGTAACTGGATAATTGGCTGTCTAAATTCCTACCACTACTCAGTCTTAGTTAATGGTGTGGTGAAGGACTTCTTTCTAGCCAATAGAGGCCTAAGACAAGGTGACCCACTCTCTCCTTTCCTCTTTACACTTGTTGCTGATGTGTTCCATAGATTGATTTCCAAAGCATATAGGACCTATTAAAGGGATGGAGATTAAGGAGAAGAGGCATTCTAGTAGCCCACCTTTAGTTCGTTGATGACATTGTTATCTTCTGTGAAGGGAATGATTTAAGTAAGGTGGACAACCTCAAGAGCTTAATAAGAGATTTTGAACATGCTTCCAGCTTGAAGATAAATTTGGATAAAAGCCGTGTGGCTGGTATAAACTTGGAGGATTTGGAGGTAGAGTCTATTGCAGGGTGCTTAGGTTGTGCCATCTCCTCTTGGCCTTTGACTTACTTAGGTCTCCCCTTAGGTGCAAACTCTAAAGAGAGTAGTTTCTGGTCCCATATTGTGGAGAAATTTGCTAAATACTTGGCGGCCTGGAAAAAGAATTACATCTCTATAGGGGGTAGGGTGACTTTGATTAGGGCCACTCTTGCCAACCTTCCAACTTTTTACCTTTCAGTCTTTAGGATTCCCACAAGGGAGGCTAAGAATTTGGAGAAGGTAATGAGGGATTTCTTGTGGGAACTAGGAGAGGTGAAGAAGGATCATCTACTTAGATGGGAGATAGTCACTAAATCTAAGGAAGATGGGGGATTGGGGATATTACCTTTCAGTCTTTAGAATTCCCACAAGGGAGGCTAAGAATTTGGAGAAGGTAATGAGGGATTTCTTGTGAGAACCAGGAGAGGTGAAGAAGGATCATCTACTTAGATGGGAGATAGTCACTAAATCTAAGGAAGAAGGGGGCTTGGGGATAGGGAAATTAGTGCAAAAGAATGAAGCCCTCCTAGGGAATTGGTTATGAAGATGGCTTTGGGGGAGAGAGAGAGACTTTGGCATGAGATGGTGTCAAGTATTCATCGCTACTCAGAAATGGTTGGGATGCTGGGATATCTCGTTGGGTTACCCTCACAATACCTTGGAAGGCTATACATGATATTCTCCTTTGCTTCCTTAGGTTTATCAAGTCTGATGCTTGCTCTGGTGATTCTTTTCGGTTTTGGGAGGATGTTTGGGTGGGTAATCAACCCCTCAAAGATTGTTTCCTTCCTTATACTCCCTTTCCCTTTACAAAAATGAGCCAATTTCAAAGTGTCTTCTAGATCTGTTTGTTCCCTTGTGTTTAAATTGGAACTTTAGCTTTCATAGGGGATTAAGGGATGGTGAGTTAACTTGTGTTACTGAGTTGCTTTATTTACTTGAGTCAGTTTATTTGGACCCCACAAGACTTGATCACAGAGTTTGGACTCCCTTGCCTGAAGGTACCTTGTGTTTCTTTTCTAAAATCCCTATGTTCCAGCCCCAACCCTTGAGTTTTTCCTGTTAAAGAAGTTTGGGTAAGCCCTATTCCCCCAAAATTGCTGTATTCTGTTGGGAAGTTTACTATGGGAAAATCAATACATTGGAAAACATGCAAAAAAAGAGACCTCTTTGTCTTTCCCCAAACTGGTGTTTCTTGTGTAAGGTCCATAATGAGGACTGTTTCCATTTATTGATATCTTGTTCCCTTGCTGCAGGCCTGTAGTTTTATAGAGCTGGAGTTTTAGTTTATTTGGTTTTATATGGATTCAGCCATCTGATGTAAGTTTGCTATTTAATCCATCTATTTTTTGGGTGGCATGAGAAGAGGTAAAGCCATGTGGAAATGTGTCAAGGCAGCTACTTTATGGAATATGGACTATTTGGGAGGAAAGGAATGCTAGAATATTCCTAGAGAAGGAAAGAAGCTTGGCTGAAGTGAAGGACTGTATTTTGACAAGAGTAATCCATTGGTTGAAGACCTTGGGTATGTTTGCTGATTTCTCATTTGATTACCTTTAGAGGGGTCAGCAGTGGCTAACCTCCACTAAGAAGAATAGAAGTGTGATAGAATGGGAACCTCCTCCGGAAGGTGTCAAATTAAACTTTGATAGGAGCAACCAAGGTAAACCTGGGCCTCAGGTATAGGGGGTGTGCTGAGGAATAAGGACAGCAACATATTTCCTTCTTCTAGGGACCAGTGGGAGATTCTACAAGGGCAGAAGTACTAGCTGCTGTACAAGGGATTCAGATTGTCAACCAGCTTGGGGTGGAACATCTGCTGATAGAAGGGGATTCTTAAGTGGTAATAGGCTGGCTCTCTAACACTGATGCTGTCATTTGGGAATACAGAGACCTCCTCAAAAGGGGGAAGTGGCTAACTAATAATATGAGAGTTGATGTTAAATGGGTGAACAGGTTGGCAAATACTATGGATGATTCTTTGGCCAAACTTGGGGTTTCCAGGCAAGATCTTTTTTTGTGCTACCTTGTAATTTGTTCTAGTGAATAGGAAAGCTGTACTTTTTTATCCTTTGAGATTAATAAAATTCTTTCAATTATCAAAAAAAAAAGAGAAAGATGTAGGGAAAACTATAGCCGTAGCAAGAGGAAGCTGGAAGAATAAGATGGATGTCCAAGAAAGAAGAATTGGACCAAGATGCTTGTAGCTAAAGTGAAGCAAGAGGTTCAGGATTGGAAGAAACGGATCCCCTCCCAGCCCACACACAAGGAGGAAGCATCAACGTGGTGGGAGTCCCGGGCCAATACCAATCGGACATGCTGATCGAAAAATTTGAACAGAGCCCGAAGCTCTAGCTCTTTTTCAGCAAACAAGGAGCAAATTCATCAACAAGGAAGTTGACAATTAGAGCTTTGGTGGAAGTATTCAAGAGACCCTTGGAACCCTATTGACTTGAGCGCACCAGTATAGAATTCACACCAGAAGACATGTTGGCGACAAACCCCCATCACAACCAACCCCTGTACATCACAACGAGGGTGGGGGGCTTCGAGATGCGAAGATCCATGGTCGACCCTGGCAACTCCGTCAACCTCATTTCCATCCATACCCTGAAATTAATGGATGTGTAGCGGGAGATAGTGAAAGGCTTGCCCATGGAGGTGACTGATTTCAATGGAAACACATCTATAACAAAGGGATCCATCGAGTTGCAAGTATCAATCAAGCCATTCTCCGCCATGCAAGAGTTCCAAATCATTTCTAGAAAAACCACGTACTACACCCTGTTGGGCGGCCACTCACACATAGTTTAGCCCTCATACCTTCGACATACCATCAGTGCATCAAGGCAAAGCATAAGGGACGTGTGGTTAGGATTCCGCCAACTAGGGTCCCTTTTGACAAGTCCGAAGCTCACCTGCAAGACACAATCTACTACATCGAGTTGGCCGACGAAGGCAAGACAAGAGTAGCTAGAGTGGAAGGAGTGTAGCTGCCGAGCCCTACGAACGAACCTCTGATCGCACCGGAAAAGAAGAAAAGAACAAGGTGCGTACGGGTGACTGGTGACAATGGGAAAAGCTACTACACCATTGTCACGGATTATGAAGATGATGAACCGCTAGCAGCTAAAAAGGCCATCTCAGAGGTATGACTCCCTATTTAGTTGTAGAGTATGTCTTTTAATAAATGAAATGAGATCCAAGTATAATTACTGTTTGTCATCACCAGGGTATAACTCCCCATATGTACTTGAAACAATACTCAAACTATGCATGCTCATACTTTTCTTTCTAAGAACATGCTTCTCACATGGAATGAATGTTGCATTTCTCTTTAACAAAAATGTGCCTGCGAACTATGTTTCAACCAGAATTATTTCACTAAACTACCCCCGCAGAAGGACATCGCGATGATTTCATTGCATGAGAACACCCCAAGGACTGAACAAACATCGCCCATGCCAAAGGTATAACATTATGAAAAAGGAGGAGAAAAAAGATATCAACCAACGAAACTAAGGAACACTAAAATTCACTTGCGATAACAAGAGCAAAATGAGGAGACTGTAGAATACTACGATGAGATCTAGACACCTAAACACATGAGGGATTCCATCGACGCAGTGGAGGAACCTTTAGAGGAAATCAACATGGCCACGGAAGGGGAAGAGAAAAGGCCATTGTACATATCAACCAAACTAAGAGCTAAGGATAGAGAAAATTTGATTGCACTCCTTAGAGGTAAACACTAAAAGCCCAATTAAGAGAAACTAACCCGCATGCATTCGCATAGAGTTTCAAGATGTTTTTGCCTGGTCGTATGATCAAATGCTAGGACTGGACTTGGACTTGGTCGTACGATCAGATGTCAGACACACCCTATGTATAGATTCCAAGGTTAAGCCTGTAAAGCAACCCTAGAGGATTTTTAAGCCAGAGGTAACCTTGAAGATCAAAGAAGAAGTTGAGTGACTCATGAAGGTTGGGTTTATCAAGCCCATAGCACACCCCCAATGGCTAGCAAATATAGTACCAGTAAAGAAGAAAAACGAACAACTCAGGTTGGTACTCTAAGGTATAGCTACCTTACCTTAGCGCACGAATTAAAACTGACCTCTCCCAACCCTACCACAAGTGTTGTGTCGACTTTAGGGACCTGAACAAAGCCTGCCCCAAGGATGAATTCCCCTTGTCGAACATGGAGGTACTAATAGACTCAACAACGGGGAATTGACTCTTCTCTTTCCTAGATGCTTGTTGTGGGTACTATCAGATCTTTATGGACCCGTAAATGCACCTCACACGGCCTTCAGTACACCCATAGGGAACTTCTATTACAAGATGATGCCCTTTGGTCTAAAGAACGCTGAGGCCACCTATTAAGAACGATAACAAGTGTCTTCCACGATATGATGAATACGAAGATTGAATGCTACGTAGATGGCATAGTGGTTAAGGTAAAAAGGCAGGAGGACCACCCCAGGGTATTAAGAAAGGTGTTCGATCGGTGTAGGATCTTCAACCTAAGACTAAACCCCTTGAAGTGCGCATTTGGAGTGCAGTCTGGAAAGCTTTTGGGTTATAGGGTAGACCAAGCCGGGATCCATCGAGATGAAAGCAAAGTGAGAGCAGTCCTAGACCTCCCACCACCGGGTGATGAACGCCAGCTAAAAACCTTCCTAGGGAAAGTATCCTACTTTAGAAGATTCATCCCCGGCCTCGCGCATGCAGCTGTGCCACTGATAAAATTAGTAAAGAAGTCAGTAGGATTCAAGTGGACGGAAGAGCATTAGAAAGCTTTCGAGCAACTAAAAAGGACCCTAGCTAAGGCACTGACCATGTCACCACCTAGGAATGGCAGAGTTCAGAGTCTACATCGCATCGAACCCGGACGCAATAGGATGCCTACTAGCACAAGAGGACGACGAAGGAGTCGAGTGCCCAATATACTATGCCAATCGAACCCTGAAGCCAGTCGAGAAGAACTACTCGCACATGGAGCAACAATGCCTAGCCTTAGTGTTCGCTACGCAGAAGTTCAGACATTACATCCTAGGTCAAAAGGTCAAGCTAATCTCACGTAGCGACCCGATAAGGTTCTTCATGGACAGACCCCCTCTTTTTGGGAGATTGGTTAAGTGGATGATGCAGCTCAGTGAATACACAATAGAGTACAATCAACTCAGAGCCATCAAGTGTCAAGCAGCAGTGGACTTTTTGGCCGCCTTCCCCACCACCAATGACTGCCCCATATCAGAAGATGTCTCGGGAGAGCTTCCCATGATCGCACTAGCCGAAGAAGGCGAATGGGTTCTAACTTTTGACGGAAGCAGCACCAGCACTTCGGTTGGTGCCAGGGTCACTTTAACGTCACCTATTGGAAACACAACCGCCTATTCATTCAAACTCCAGTTCTCTTGGTTCACACAACATAGCTGAGTATGAGGCCCTGGTCTTGGGACTGACGGTAGCAAGAGACTCGGGAGCCAAAAAAGTCAAAGTGACGGGAGACTCCAAATTGGTTATAGGTCAACTGGACTACAACACCACTGTAAAAGAACTGACAATCCTACCCTACAGGACCCTGATACAGATGCTGACCTGAGATTTAGAAGTAACCTTTGAACATCAAAACAGAGCCAAAAAGAAGATTCGTCGATGCGCTAGCGATTCTTGGGTAAAAAATTCAACCCAGTCAAAACCCAATTAGCATCACCATCCAAATCCTCAGTATCAGGGTTGGTGGTGGATGATTGGAGGTATAATATAATTCAGAAGCTAAATAACCCAGGGTTGGCGGTGCAAGACAACAAGGTGATCCTGAAGTTCCAATTGGTAAACGGGGTGTTATACCACCGACTAGCAGACGGGGTAAGAACAGGGTGTTTGGGGAGGAAGGAGGCAGAGTTTGTCCTGAACGAAACTCATGCAATGTATTGTGGAAACAAGGCCAACACCTTGTACCGAAGGTTGAAGAGATTAGGGTATTACTGGACCTCGATGAAGTCAGATGCGACCAGGGTACAAAACGAATGTGAGAAATGTGTCCTAGACGTTGATGGCAGGGATTAAACCTGTTCATGGGCCGGGTAGCCCGACGGCCCGGCCCACACCCTTGTTGGGCTTGGACATGTAATTAGGCTCGCGGGCCTGACCTTGGGCCCAAAACAGAAAGCCCGACTGTGTTTCGGGCCGGGCTCGGGATTTGTCAAAAAAGCTTGGCCCGACTCGGCATTATATATTTTATAAAATATATAATATGTATTTTATATAATATAAAATATATAATATTTATTAGAATATATATATTAATAATTTAATATGTACATTTTTTATTTTTTCCTTTATAATTTCTCTCTCTATTCAGCCGCTTCAACAATAGCAATGGCATGAGCTAGACTTTGGGCTCGGGCCCAGGCCCGGGCTTTGGACTTTTTATGAGGGCCGGGCTCGGGCCCAAGTTGTAGGCTCAATAGTCGGGCCGGGCTCGGTCTCAGGCCTTAGAAAAATCTGTTAATGCAGAGTGAAAGCTCGGCCCGGCCCATGAACAAGTCTAGTAGGGAATGCCTTGTGGTAAGGAAGGCAGACTGGAGAAGCATGTATGTCAGTTATCTGGAGAACAACGTTTTGCCACTAGACCCTACGATGAGGCGAAAGCTTTTGTCGAAGGCTAGGAGGTTTTACATACACGAATGAATACTTTACAGGAAATCTCACACCAGGAAGCCCTTGCGGTGTTTAGTAGGCAAAGAGATAGAGGAAGCGCTAGAGGTCGCCCATAATTCTGAACCCACCCCACATCAAGGACAGACGACCCTGTCACAAAGGAAGAAATGCTAACCATTTGTTATGCTACGTTTATAGCCTCTTCTTGGTGTGGTTAAATTATAAATTTCTTTAGTCACCCATTAAGAAACCATAGAATGGTGCTTTTCAAGTACATATTAATTATAATCTTCCATTAACATAAACAATGGGAGGTCAGTAATTTAGTTTAATGTTTCAGAAGTGAGATGCACGGTTTGCAGAAACCTATTTCTCTGAGAGGATCACCAATGGCAATTCAGCATCTGCTAACTCTACTTGCTTAAACATTGGTTGATGACATCGGTCTAGATGGTCTTAACTAAGTAATACCTTATAAGATGAGATTTAGTTTGAATTTGAAAGTAGACCAATGGGACAGTCATTGTGGACCTCTTTTATAGATTTTCATCCTGTCTCCTATTTTCTTATTGAAGCTTGGATATCTACGAAAAATATTAAGATTCTATAGTTGCTAGATATGTTGGGGGATGCCTGGGCATAATAGGTCAGGTGAGTTAGATGGATCAGGAAGCCAGCTTTTCTGGGTGTTTTTGTTTTAGCTTAGTTATTATGAAGTTGGGAGTGATGGTTTATTTTGGAGAATTCATTATAGTGTTGAGGTCTGGACTCTGGAGTGGAGTTACAGGGTCATTATTTGCTGTTTTTTTTTTCCTGTTGTGGTTTTAAATTTATAATAGGTTGATTTGTTTGATTGAAGTTTTAGGAGTAGTTATGTTAATAAATGTAGGTGTTTGATGGTGTTGGGTATTTTTGCCTTGTTTGGGTGTCAAATTGTGGTTCTGTTTAGTGTGTACTGTGTAGCCGTTGTTCATTTGGTGGTGGGGCTGCAATGCTCATATTACTACCTTTATATTCCTTTCACCTTTCACCTTTTATTACCAAAAAAATAAAATAAAATCTTGGGGACTATATCATTGTCCTATCCTGGTATTTGAAAAATTAAGATATACTAGCGGGTACCCGTGCAATGCACGGGATTTATTAAGCGAAAGATAAAATAATAGAAAGGGTCATTTACTAAAATACCCTTATAGTTTCATGGATTTACTAAAATCTACCCTATAACTAGCATTTTACTAAAACACTACTTATAATTTGCAATGAATCTAATCAATCTTCCATTAGATGATAGTGGAAAATGATAGTGTTGACCCTAATGTTCATTTAAATAAATTTAAACAAAAGAAAATAGAAATAAAAATACCATTTTTGCCCTTCTATTGGCTATATTTGGCCAATTTTGTTTTCTGTACAAAAAAGTGTTAAGGGTATTTTTGGAATAAAAAATCATGGGCCTAATGGCAAAACAAACACTCCTTAATGAAAGGTTGATTAAGTAAATAAGTTGTAAAATATATGAGATGTTTTATTAAAATGAAAACTATATGGTAGGTTTAAGTAAATATGTAAAGCTATATGGTGTGTTCTAGTAAATGACCCTAATAGAAACACAAAAGAGTATACAATTGTTTTATATTTTCAACTTTTTAAATAATTAATAATTATTTATATTTTATATACTACTTTTAATAAATTTTTTATAATACAAAAATAACAATAATTAATTTCAGTTAGGTTTATTTGTCAAACTTATGAACCGACCAACCCGATCAACTCGACCCGAGTTGGTCAGTTTTCTAGTATTTTATGTCGGTTTTGGTTAAAAAATTCCCAATTCGACCAAAATCAAATGACCTAACCATGGACATATATTAATATTTTATATTTTAAATATAATTTTTAATATGAAAACGTGAGAAATTTCCCATATTTCTTAGTCTAAAATGTTTTATTTCATAAATCTAATTTTAAAATTTATTTTTAATAATTGCACTGTAATTGTTAAAATCAAATTTAATTTTTAAGTTGAAATCTTTTGAACCAACTGACCTTTTGTGAAAATCGACCCAAACCGGTACAACTTGAGTGGGTCGGTTTTCACACAAAGGTCAGTCGGTTTCAGCTGACCAACTCCCCAACCAGACCACGTCAATTTGGTTGGCCAAATGGCCTACGGCTTGAGCGAACCAACTTATGAACACTCATAATTTTAGATAAATTAATGGTCTTTATCTCCGATAAATAACAATAGTTTAATCTTCAATAATTATTGAAAATTTATAGCAAAAATACACAATTGTTGAAAATATATTGATAATGAAAAAAATACAATAATTATAATAATTACAAAAATACAATAAGTACTTAAAATATATTAACTTAGTCAATAAATAGTATAATCTCTAATAAATATTACACTCTTGTTCCTCAGTTGAAGTCTATTTGGGATGATCTGCAGGTAGTGGGCACCGGTTCTTTCATTCTAGCAAAAAAATTGGGGGCCATCAAGGCAAGATTAAAGATTTGGAAATTGGAGAAAAATATGAGTTTAGGTACTGAAAAGAAAGCTCTCCTGAGTACCATAAAGGAAATTGATTCAGCTGAAGAATCGGGTCCTATTTCTGAGGAGCATAGACTAAAAAGATCTCAGGCAAAGATGAAGTTTGATAAATTGGCGGTGTCGGAAGAAATCAAATAGAGGCAAAGAGTTAAAGTGGCTTGGCTGAAAGAGGGGGATAGGAATACATACTTTTTTCACAAATTGGCAAATGCAAGAGCTAGAGCCTCTGTATTGACCAGGCTGGAGGGAGAGGGCTAGGTGGGGTGTCTTTGAGATAGATATGAAGCTAGTGGCTACCAACTTTTATAAAAAGTTGTACAAGGAGTCTTGGTTCTTTAGACCTTTTCCTAGGTCCCTTTCTTTTAATTAGTTGAGTGATGTGCAATCATCTTTTATTGAAAGATCCTTCATGGAGGAGGAAATAAAAGCAATAATCAAGTTGTTGGCTGATGAGAAGTCTCCAGGGCCTGATGGTCTTACAAATCTTTTCTATATTAAATGTTGGGATGTGGAGAGATAGGACATTCTGAATGTTTTCTAGGACTTCTATGAGAGGGGTTCTTTGCAGAGGAGTCTGAATGCTTCCTTTATAACCCTCATTCCAAAGATTGAAGATGCAGTGAATATTAAGGACTTCAGGCCGATTAGTCTTCTGCATAGCTTCTACAAAATCTTAGATAAAGTTCTTGCTGAGAGAATGAAAGGGGTTCTTGGTAGTGTTATCTCAAATAACCAAAGTGCCTTTGTTCCGGGTAGGCAGATGTTAGACTTTGTACTCATTGCCAATGAGCTCATTCATTCCGGGAAAAAAGAAGGTTCCCCCGGGCTGATTTGCAAACTTGATATTGAAAAGGCCTATGATCATGTCAATTGGAGGTGTTGATCTTGTGTTACATCAGATAAATTTTGGGTAGAAATGGAGGAATTGGGTTAAAGTTTGTATCACCTCTCCAAAGTTCTCTGTTTTGGTTAATGGACAGTCCGTAGGCTTCTTTGATGGTTCCAGGGGTCTTAGACAGGGTGACCCCCTGTCTCCTCTACTCTTTATATGTGTAATGGAGATCCTCACTTTATTCTGTAAGAAGGCTGCAGCTTCGCATGAGTGGGAAGGTTTAGCAATTGCTCCGGGGGGAGAGAAGGTGAATATTCTCCAATTTGCAGATGATGCGTTATGCTTTATGGATGCCTCTTCCTCACAAGTGGAGTTAATCCATGGGATCTTATATTGGTTTGAAGTGATTACTGGTCTAAAAGTTAATTGGAACAAGAGCCAAATTATCCCAGTGGGCTAGGTTTCCAACTTAGCAGATTGTGCTGGTATTTTGGCTTGTCAGATTGAGTCCCTTCCAGTCAAATACTTGGGGTTCCCTTTGGGGGTGAGTGGTGGTTCTTCTGCAATTTGGGACCTGGTAATTGAGAGAATGGAAAGAAAGCTGGCCTCTTGGAAGGCAAAATATCTTTCTTTTGGGGGTAGAGTGACTCTGATTAAGAGTACTCTCTCCAATTCACCCACCTATTTCCTGTCTCTATTCTCTATTCCAAACAATGTTGCAAATCATCTTGAAAAGCTTCAAAGGAGTTTTCTTTGGAGAGGTTGAGAGGAGAAAAAAGTGCATTTGGTGAGTTGGGAGCAAGTGTGGAATCCCATCAGCCCAACTAAAGCTAACTTCCTAGTTTGGACTATGGCTCTTAATAAATGTCTTACTAGAGCTAGCCTAGTGAGAAGGGGCATTCGGATTTTGGACCTGTCTTGCAGTTTGTGTGGGAGTAGTTCTGAATCCACTGACCATTGTGCATCCACTGCCCGTTTTCTACTCAGCTGTGGAGCCATTTCCTCAGCTCCATGAATTTAAGTTGGGTGATGCCGAGGTCGGTTAAGGAGCTGATGTGTTGCTGGAAGCTCATGGGTTTGAGGAAGAAAAAGAAGGCTGTTTGGAAGACGATTCCAATTGCTGTATTGTGGTCCATCTGGTCTGAGAGGAATAGAAGGATTTTCTGTAACAAGACTTTAAGTCCGGAAGAGCTAATTCAGAAAACAGTGGGCAAACTGATGTCTTGGGTGTCTGTGTCTGAGGATTTCAGAAATTGTAATGTGTCAGCTGTTTTTCTTTCTAGTTCATGGTGGAATGTGTAATTGCTGATTTGATCAGTTCGCCTTTTCTGGGACTGATCTCAGCCTCCTGTGTGTAATTTCTTCTCAATAAATATTACTTTACCTTTTCCAAAAAAAAAAAAAAACTCTATACTAAATTAGAGACAATTTTGGAGAAAGTGGGGGATAGTGGGGGAGGTAGTTTAGGAGAAATTTTAGGAGAAGAGATTATTTAGGTTCAGGGAATGTGCATCTCATTGTTTGTTTCAAAAATGACATGGAATAAAAAAATAAAAAATTCAAAAAAAGGAGAAAATTTCTTCACTGCCTTCATTTTATTCAGTGTTAGGGGCAGCTCAGTCTTTTTTAGGTTTTAACTTTTAACTTAAAGTATATTATACTCTGATACTTTCTTTGGGCAACCTGCAATAATCTCTTCTTTCTGATGTCTTGTTTCAATAATCTTTGTTGTGCTCTTTGCTTCAAAAATTCGTTCATTCCAATGGTGCATAGTAATGTTTCTTTTCCTTGTGCAGTTATTAAAAAATAAAAAATAAAAGGCTTCATAAAGCAATGCTTATATCTATAAATCCATTAAACTTGTTTAACTTGGTATGGTATATTGGAAACCTCATTTTAACTTGCCTTGTTAAAGTGTACGGGGCAGCAATCAACAACATTCCTCTTTTTATTGCTAAAAAGAAAAGAAAATGAATATTGAGCCACAAAATTTTACAACCTTTCATTTGCAATCTATCACTCATTACAAAATTACAGAAAAACAGGGGGAAGATGGGAAGAGTGTAATGGAACTTCCTTGTTCTCCATTATAAAAAGAAGCAATTGTTTCCAGTTTTTATAGCTCTCCTTTTACGTTGTTTATTTGGTCAACTTTTAGATTATTTCTAAGTCACAATGATATATTAGTGAAAATTAAAAAAATTACCTTTATTTTCATTTTCTGTTTCCATTTTCACTCTTGCGGCACCCAAAATTTCAACATGAGATTTGACGTGCTGATCCATGCGACTACAGTCCTCTTTTATTTACGTCTTTGCACCCACTGTGTAGGTTAGCAGAAACGACTATTGATCCATTCCTAAAATAGTTCAAAGGCTTCTGAAAAAGAAAATAATGGACCCCTACTCAGGAGGGAGCTGGATGATGATTCCAAGTGCCTCAAATCACAATGCTTCATCAATAACATCAAATCAAGACCATTCTCACCTTCATCAACAATATCATCATCAGCTGCAGCAGCAGCTGCAACAGCCGCAGCAGCAACAGCCACAGCGCCATCAACAACATCATCAGCACCAGTCACTGGCTTCTCATTTTCATCTCTTGCATGTATGTATGTGTGCTTGTGTTAAATTTTCTCTCAAACCAGATTCATTTTGTTTCTTCTTGGGAGTGCTATCATCAGAATAATCATTGATAATCCTCAGCATATGCTAACTGGCAATATGGTATAACTTGATTTTTGTTCTTATAAAGTGCTCGATGATATTTAATATGGTTTGGTTGGCATGTAATTGGGTAAGCCCCAGACGCAATGCGGTTTTGAGCCCTGCTACTAATGGCTCTAAATCCACCTTTGAGAAGAGTGTAATGTTGCTAGGTAAAGTTTGTGGTACTATGCCATGAAAGGCGAGTAATCAATACTAAAAACAAATATATCTTTGTTTTCAGTGTACTTTCTCATCTATTTTATATTGTCTATAACATAGTTGCCAAGTTTGCACCCAAGTGACAAGGCACCCATGGAGGGTTGCCTGGCTTAATCATCTAGAAATTTTATGCATATTAATAAAATATGCATAAATTATTTATTTGATTTTTTTATATTATTTATTTTTTGATGTCATATTAATAAAATACATATTATTAAACTAAATTATTCATTTGTGGGTTTATGTGCTAGTTTTGTTTTTATAATATTCTTATTTGTCAGAGTAAAATCAACATACATGTTAGCGTATGCTGTCTTGAACCCTTAGAGACTTCAAAACCTGAACCAAGGAAGAACTGATTATCACACACACACACAATGGCAAGGGAGAACTTAAAATTTTGTTTAATCAACACATTCTTAGTATGAAAACAGGGGCTCAGCCCCTATATTTTCTGCATTTACTTTTCTCTTTTTCATTTTATTCTGATGAATATATTGTATATTGATTTTTCTATGTTTTAATATGAATTTTATACTTTCTTTTATAAAGATTATAGATAATTACTGGGGAAAGCTGGCTGCTGGTTGCTATGGAACCAAGGGAGTTACCCAAGGGTTCATGTTTTTACTTGAAAAAACCCATCACCTAGGTGCCCACCTAGACAACTAGGCGACAAGGTGCCCCCCTGTCACCTAGCCTCGCCTTGGTGCCTTGAAAACAAATTATCGTCTATAAGATAATAAGACTGATTCTTTATTTTCTTGAGCCAGTTTGATGAGAAATAAACTTTGGTTTTTCTTAATGTTTTCTTGGCAATTTCAGTTGGTAGAGAATTTATCTGAAGCTATTGAAAGTGGCACACGTGATCAGCATTCAGATGCTCTGGTAAGCATTTTCATTCCAACATTGTAAAATATTTCTTTATAATGTGGAACCGGGGTAATTTGCAATCATAGTTTTAGGACTTTTCATTCACTTATTCTTCAATTTTTTTTTTTCATAATAGGTAAATGAATTAACTAGCCACTTCGAGAAATGTCAACAATTATTGAACTCAATATCAGTATCGATCAACACAAAGGCCATGGTATGTAATGACCCATCTAAATATTATTTTCTAGTTTTAGTATTGTACTATTATGTGATAAAAAATAACAATTAAATTAACTAACAATAATGGATTGTAGTTGATTTTCTTCAATTGTATCATTCTTTAAGCACCTAGGGTAGATGTGCAAAATGAAACTAGCACCTTAATGCATTTTTGAGTCTTGATCTCGTTGTAACCTGTGCCACAATTGAAAAACCCCCTGGTGTGGGGGTGATCATGGGCAATATATTTGGTCTTGGTCATAGACAGTTGATGGACAGAAGCGTAAGATGGAGGAAAGCGAGCAACTCCTAAACCAGAGAAGGTTGGTGCTACCTTTATTGTAATCTTTTATTTGCAACAGATAATCTAAATGTTGGATAAAAAGTCATTGCTAATATTAAATAGTTTAATTCTTTGACAGGGATCTGATTTCCAAGTACAGAAGCTCTATTGAAGATCTGGTTAAGTCAGACAGATAATGTATGTTAACAATACTGCAAGTAGTTTTTACCACACGTGTTTTAGTAAATATGCTTTGTCCATTCCAGAAAGGCACATCTTAGTTCATTTCAATGTTGTCATTTTTTATGATATATATACTGGAAAAAGAGATTCCTGTAGGCTTTTTTCCCTATGTTGGGAACATATGGAGATACCCCTATTTCTTTACTTACCTATTGTGCATAAAGATGCATTTTTATATAGCCTGTACTGTGTCTTGATGGCAGAGGTGGGCGCAATGTCAAATGAAATGAATACAATTGACAGGTTTAAGGGGATTTCAATGGTCGCAAATTGAGAAGCTGGAGATATATTTTTGTAGGTTCCACTGTGTCATTTTTAAGCACCTGGGATAAGCGTGCAAAATGAATTTAAGCACCTCTACTCTGGGTCGTGGTTTGCTATACAGGAGTGGAGGAAAACTTGAGATAGAAAGGTACACCGATGCTGATTGGGCTGGTTTTGTATCTAATAGGAGGTCGACCATAGGTTATTATACCTTTCTTGGGGGTAACTTGGTGACATGGAAGAGTAAGAAACAAATAGTGGTGGCATGAAACAGTGCAGAAGCTGAATACAGAAGCCATGTCACATACAACTTGTGAACTGATGTGGTTGAGGAACCTTCTATAGGAAATAGAGTACTCAATTGGCACACCAATGAAGTTTTATTGTGACAACCAAGCTGTTGTCCACATTTCCTCCAATCTAATCTTTCATGAAAGAACAAAACATATAGAAGTTGATTATCACTTTGTGAGAGAGAAGGTTCTTAGTGGTGTAATAAGTATAGTTTATGTTAACATAGGAAGCAATGGGCATATCTATTCACCAAAGGGTTGAATTGGGAAAGAGTGGATTACATATGTAACAAGCTAAGACTATATGATATATATTGTCCAGCTTAAGGGGGAGTGTTTTTTTGACTAAATAAAGGTAGAATGGTCATTTAAGTTTTATTATTATGGTGATGTGTCTTTGAGTTAGATGATGTGTCCCATACTTAAGTAGGGGCACAAGAGTCATTTGCAATGGAAAAATAGAAAGGTTAATACACTCTGGGTCGACTGGAGAGAACTAATTTTTCTCTCGAGTTCGAACCAGATTTTTCTCCTCGCTCTTATTCTTTCTTTCCTCTTCTTTCCTCTTCTTCCTTCTTCCTTTTTTCTCTAATTAAACTGATTTTTCTCTAATCTTTCTTTCCTCTCTTTCCTCCCTCTTCTTCCTTCTTCTTCCTGACTTTCTTTTTCCATTACAAATGACTCTTGTGCCCCTACTTAAGTATGGGACACATCATCTACCTCAAAGACGCATCACCATACTAATAAAACTTAAATGACCATTCTACCTTTTAGTCGACACTAACAGATTCAAATCACATCCATCTGCATTTGAGATTAATCTGATTATAAAAAAAAACAAAATTTAAAAGGGTTTCAAATCAAACTTAGTCCTATTTGATTTTTTGGTTTATTCAAATTTCATTTCACCATCTTTTAAAATAAGGAGAGAACTAAAAATTTATAAAAAGAATTAAACATTCCACTTTTACATGTAGAATAAATTTATATAAAGATAAATAATGAAGGTAGAGAGTGGGGGAGGGGAAAATTTACGTAGGAAGTGGAGATTTTTTGAACCATAGAGGGGGGGGGGGTTATGGCTCCCCTGGGTCCCCCTAGCTCCGCCCCTGATTATAGATATTTTTATATAATACATATACATATTAAAAAACACTTAATTAAGAATCGTTGGATCCACATTTTCTTTATTAAAGGGATCATGTGCATCCAAAATTGTTGGATCAGGTTTTGACTTTTGGGTTCAATTAATAGTTATATCCAATTTTGTTTGTTGATGATATTGTTTTAATTTATGAAATTAATGAAGGATTCAATACAAAATCAAGTTTTCTTATTAGTTAATAACTTAGAAATAAGAGATTTTAAAATGTGCAAGACTAAAATAGAGCATATGATATGTAAATTTAATAATGATAGGAGTGCAAATTCAGGAACACTTGGGATTGAAGACTAAGAGTTAACTCAATTTAACATTTTCATGTCCCTTGATTCAATAATTCATAACAAAGGAGATATTGAAGAGGGTGTTGCCAATATATAGAATTAGTGTGATTTGAGCAAAATGGACGGGTGCATTTGGGATCTTATGTAATAGATGAATACCACTTAGATTAAAATGAAAATTCTATAAAATGACTATAAACCTAAAGTAAAAAACATGTTCAAAAATAATTGGCAGAAATATTTATGTTGAGATGGACGAATGGAAAAAACTAGAAAGGATAGGCCAAATATATAAAGTCATTCAAAGGATCGAACATAGGAGTAGTTTCAATAATGATATAGGGAGGGAAAGTAAAACTATAAAATGGTTTGATACCTTTAACACCAACCATAAGAAGTGATCTATTATTGCAATTTGAAAGGGGCTAAAAGGAGTAGGAATAGATCAAGAAGAACATAAGTAGAAATAGTAAGAAATGATTTAAGTGCTAATAATCTAACAATGGTTATAATATTAAACCAAGGTTGTCTGCGACACATGGCCTCTCCTTTCTCCAAACCCCCTTCTTGCATTTTCCTTAATTTTCTCTCTCCTTTCTCTACTACTTTCTAGCCCTCTCATTAGGCCACATCAACAGGCCTCTCGTTGCTCCCATTAATCCCTACTTCCCAATTACCTAAAAATCTTTATGAAACATCTCTTAAGTCTCTCTTAAATCTTCCTAAAATCTCTCTCTCTCTCTCTCTCCATAACTAACTTTTCTGACTCTCTCTATCCACATAAATTCTCTACTTAATTAGTTCAATATATGTTTTACCCTAAAATCTCTCTCCTAAATTATCTGTAATTCCTATTTATCCTCTCTTCCACTTTTTCCTATTTATTTACTCCTAAATTATTTCTAATTTTCATCCTTAACTATCTCAATATATTTTTTACCCTAAAATCATCTTCTTTCTCTTGAGGATGTGCAAATTTACGTCTTCTTTTTCTTTTTAATTTTAAATTGTAATTCATTGTTATTTAAAAATGTCATTTTTGATAAATTAAAACAAATAATAATTATTTACTATAATTAATTTTTGATAACTACTAAAATAATTAATATTAATAAAAAATCTCAATAAGTTTTTAGGATTATTAATTCTCCATAATATTTTGCTGAGAGTTTCTGTAATTGATTTCAGTTAAGAATATTGAAATTTATTACATTCTTAAATATCAATAATATTGAAAATTATTATCTTTTACTTCTTAAAATCCTTTATTAATAATTTATTATCTTTATTTTCTGAAAATTATAGTAATTAATTTCACTTAAAAATATTGAAAAGCATTTCAGTAATTGATTGTCTGAAATTAAATTCTGAATATTTCATATAATTAACTCGTATAATTTCTGAAAATTTCAGTTAATATTGAAAATAAAAATATAATTATTTCAGTTAAAAATAATGAAAATTATTACAATTTCAGATAATTATTTCATATAATTTATGAATAATTTCATTTATGTATTTTCCAAAAATATTTATTACAATTTCAGATAATTATTTATTACTTTTATTCGAATTATTAAATTTTCAGAAAATTGTTGATTAATTTTAATTTGAGAATAAAAGATATATTAGTGTAATATTGAAAATGCTATAAAATTTATGTATTTTTCGGAATATTATTGGAATTTTGTACAATATCCATTGTAAATTATTTAAAATTACTTTTTTCAGCTTATTCATTAACAATAAATTATTTCCAGAAATTTATTTTTTGCACAAATAATTTTCTAGATTATTCAGTAATTACTGTTAATTAAGTTATTGATAAATTGATGTAACAATTATTAATAAATTATTATCATTAATTCCTGAAATTTTCGGTAATTGATATCAGTTAAAAAATATTGAAATTTATTACAATCTCAGGTCATTTTTGAATATTTCATTATGTATTTCCTGAAAAATATTTATTGATTACTTTTTACTGGTATAATAATTAATAAATTATTATCTTTAATTTCTGAAAATTTCAGTAATTGATTTCAGTTAAAAACATTGAAAATTATTACAATTTCTGGTTATTACTGAAAAATTTGTTTATGTGTTTTCTAAAAATATTCATTAAATTTTATTAAATTAGAAGATCAAAGATATATTACTGTAGATTTTAGAAAATTTGTAACAATTTTTTATAAATTTGCCATGGTTACTCCTCTCTCTAATAAGTATATCATTAATATAAATTTCCCATGTCTTGCATGACCACCCTACTACTTTTTGTTTTTTTTTTTTAATTTTCCATGTCTTTAATGACATACCTATTAGTCTTTTTTTTTTTTTTTTGATACACCCATTTGGTTCAAACCCAAGTCACTTTATGCCTAAGCCAACTAATACACTCAAGCCATTAATCCATTTTAAAATTTATAATAATGAATAAAATAAAATAAACTTTGTTGACTTTGTTGTCAGCATGGTAATCCAAACAAATCCATATATTAATGCTCAACAACTCCAACTTAAAATTAAAAAGAGCAATACTAAAAAATTGTATTTTATAAACGTTAATAGAACAAATAATCTATCAAATTTACATTTACATCAAAAATTGATTTCTACTCTTAATAAATTTATACAAATAAAATATTAATAATACAATAATTATTTTATTACTTAAAATTTATAAATTTTCTCATGATATGTATCTTAAAAATTTGCATTTTTTTTATAATTTATTGATTAATATTTCAATTTACACTATAACATATTTATTATTTAAAAAGTAAAAATTTTGCATACAAAATATTCAAGAATATAACATTAAATTGAATTTATCAAATCCACTAATCTACGTTTATATAAAAATTGACTTTTTTGTATTAGAAAATTTATATAAATAAAGATGTTATTATGTTATTAATGGAAAACTTTTTTTAGTGAACCAAAACTAGAGATCAATACATTAAGGATGCAATTTGGGTGGGCTTGGGCTTTTGTCAAAATTTGAGTGAACCAAACCCAACACCTGAATCAATAGCAATTGATGATTGATCATATGTTTACGGGTGGAGAAATCCATGCTACTGGAAAGACATGATGATATTAGAAGAGCTTTGACAAATCAAAACCACCGGTGGTTGAACCCAACAATAAAATTTTTAAGTTATAACATAATACACACATCTACATACATATCACCAAACCGACCAAATTATCCATAATCGATCCCATATGGTTGGTTTT